AGCAGGATAAAGTAAGCTGGTTTATAAAAATTCTTTATCTGAAGTCTATGTGACTACTCACACTATCTTAACTTCATTGATCAACTTGTGCTATAACTCCTGGTACTGCTGCAGTTGTATTTCCTCTCTTAGCTCAGTATCTTAGTGACACCTAATGTTTATTTTCTGTAATACACTTCGAAGAACAAAGCAAAGCCTTTCTGAACCAGTTTAATAATCTGATTTACACTCATGCAAAACCGATCACTCTTCAAAATAGTGTACAAAACTGACTACATACTGTAAACCCATTTTTTAGTACTCAAAGTCATTCCAGTGTAAAGCAGATCTTAAAAAAAAAAAAATGGACAAACTAGTTTCGCTATGTTGTATACACTTCTGCTCTAAAAAGGTAAAATACAAAAACAATCCAAAGATATGTTTTGCTCCACTAAAAATAAAGCCATAAAGCCATGAAAGTTAGAATTAGATGTACTTTCTCAAGACATACATTTCCTATATTTTGGTTAAAATGTCCCTAAAATTTGCTTAAAGTTCCTAAATTTTAGTAAAAAGTTCCTAAATACTGAAATTTAGTACAGTATACTAGGTCATACTTCATTTCTATTAAACCCTCCTTCAAATGCAAAAGCTCAACAGTTTTTTTCCTTCCTCATCTCCAGCTAACAGCATGCAATCAAGAGGCGAAAAGCTAGCTCTCCCACACTCCAGTGAAACTCAATTTAACTTAACTTTTGGTGTACAAATTAACATTATTTTCTACTATACTGTCTAAGCTACTGGTATATAAACACATGTCCTAGCTTAGTTAACCATAAAGTAATAAAAAAAAAAAAATTACTTATTTCTAAAATACATAGGTTTTTTTACAAAGGGAAAGAACTCCATCCTCTCCACATTATTTTGAAAGACAAGGTGTTATGAGCAATTCTTTTTTTTTTTTAATTTAAGAATTTTATGACCTACTGTATTAAACTTTATTCTATAGTTTCAAGAAATTTGGGGGAAATTCCCCAAATTAAGACCATGTGCTCATAAACCACTCTGAAACACGAACTGCAGGGTGCGTGTATGACAGCATGAAATCAAACCCATATGCACAAAGAGACTTTAATAAAATTAAAATTGCAAATCATGTACATGACAAACATGTGATTGTAAAATACTATTAATGCTGTCATACTTGCATTCCTGGGACAAAAAAATTCTATTTGTATTTTTCCACCCTTATTCCTTTCCATAGGTTAAAAAGATTTCTGTCCTCTCTGGGATACAAACTACTCCAGAGTGTCAAACACTACTCCCAATTCGACTCCAAAAACTTACTTAACAGAAATAATTCGTAAAAAGCCCTCAAATCTGAAGGTACACGAATTCAAGTGTTTGATCTATGCTCAGTATTAAGATTAAGATAAGCATATTGCATACAAACCATATGACATTGATGGTAAATGTTGGCTCTTTCCACTTCAACAGGAAAAATTAGAAGAAAAATATTAAAGTAATAACACAACATTACAAACAAAAAAGCCTCTGGCGCAGAAGTGAACTCTGTACTTACAGGTATGCTCCAGACTTGCATTCCATCACTGTATCCGATCATTAGCAGTAACGGTGGTTCATTCCCAGTGCTATGTATTTCATGAAACTCCATATTCCTTGATGTATCTAAATCGGATTTAAATATCAAAGCCATTAACAGGTTAGGATCAACTATGGCTGGCGTCACTTATATTAGATGGTGTTTTCTCAGTGCAAGTTTCTACTGTCACAAGTAAAAGCAAGTAAAGTCGTTCAAATTTTTATGCTGGAACAGTACTGAAATATATTCTTTTAGGCAAACGTAAGAGACTTGTTAAAGTTTCACAGAGAGTTTACAAAGCATTAAAATTGAAAAGAATGGAGAAAAAATTTCTGAGTTACATTGTGGGTTGTCAATAAGTTCCCCAAAAACTTTTGTAATTCTTTTGCCAATGATTAATAAAACATGGCAAACTTTTCAAATAGAGAAAAATTTGCAAAGGACCAACAAAATAAACATTAACAAATACAGAAATTACAAATGCACAGACTGATCAAAACTATTTCTAGATACTATGTAATTAATCTTTACATCAGCCTTACCAAAAGAAGAAAATCCCCAGGAAGAAAAGTGCTACAGGACACAATAATCAAAATATTAAGCTTTTCTTGAGTAAAGCCCTCTAAAAGTACATTTTCAAGCATGACAGAATGAACAAAAGCTCACTGCAAGCATGTAAGCATCAAAGAAAGAGAGGAAATATTTAGGATGGTGAAAGAGGATGTATTCAGGCCTGATCAGATTAGGCTGCGTAAAAGTAAATTTAAACAGAATATGAAGGATTCTGAAGAACATCTTAAAGATTTTTTGTTATACTGTAGAAAAGAACCTAAAGAGGGAATGCCTGAGATTTTTTAAACAAACATACGAGGAAAACAAACCCACAAGCAAACAAGCCTTAGCTAGCCTAAAGCTGGACATAATGCCATGTACAGGTTGACAGGTCTTTTCAAGTTCTAATAACCGTGAATTTATGGACTGCCAGCCTCTGTGCCATTTCAACAGCCGGAAAACATATAATCTTCCCTACTAACCTCTTGGAAAGGCTGAAAATTCCCCATCACAGCTCTGCCTGCGGTGGCTATTACTTCACCTGAGACCAGAATGAGCCTTCACCATAGAGCTCTGGACAGGCACGCAAGATGGCCGACAAGCAACAGCCATTCGCTGACAGACTTAAACCCAGTGCTCTCCAGAAGGCAGGCCCCTTAGCTCCCCAGCCACGACAAGCACGCGTACCACACACCACAAGCAACTCCAAGATGTTCAATTAATTCAAGAAGTAACTACCCGATAGCAGCGTTCAACCATCTCTCATTCAGTCCCTAACCTTCCTTATTAAAAAAAAAAAAAAAAAAAAAAGAAATGGGGAAAGTCCCTAGTAAAAAAAAAAAAAAAAAAAAAAGTAACTGGGATAGACAGCTGAAACAGCTCAGATCTTAAGTGGAGATCTACCTGATACTCTTAGAAAAAACTAGGAAAAAAATCACCATTTCTTCTTAAAAGGGTTGGAGATCCATTGCCTGCACTAAGTCAGTAGTCTTTGCTGATGATTTATTAAAATACACTGGTAGTGATGAACAAGTTAAAATTTAAGAATATTTCGTGGCTTTGCTCTGCTACTTCCCGGAAAGACATCATGGAATCTCCTGCTCATTTCCCCCAACAGCTCTTCCTTTCTAGGTTCCTATGAATTCTATCACACCACTGAAAATATATCTGAGACCTGGACCAGATTCACAGTTAAATAATCTGGCTTTGAAATCAAACGGTAGATGAAATAAGTTCAGTTCTATGCTTTGTTTTCAGCTACCTTAAGGAAAGGAAACTGGTCTGAGGGGTGCGTGGAATCTGCCTCTCTTCCTAAGCAAGAGTTAGTCTGCCTTCAGATGAAGTTGCAAGGCCTATTTGTCCTATTTGGTAGATATTGAACAAAAGCGCAGTTATTCACTGAGAATTTAGTCTATCTAGAACAGGGAAATGAAATACTTTATTTGAGTCAACAATGCTTACTGACTGAAATTATTGTACCTGGACCCCCAAAAAAATCACAAAAATAAGTGAGAGAAAATGAAGCCATACCATTTAAATCTGCATTTTCAAATCTGACCCAAATGATCTTCTCCTTTTCTTCTGCTGGTGGGGTACCACTATAGGCCTGGATAAAAAGCAGAAGAGTTGAAATAAGAAAGTTTAACACCTTTTTTTCCATAGGAGGGAATGTAACTTAAAAAAGAAAGCCCGAGGTACATGTATCTTACTGTCACCAGCATTCCTGTGAGGTTTTGTTTCAAAAATGACTGGTTCCATGATCAACATACACCATACTAAATATAACTCAACAAGCACAACATCACTTACTAAGGTAGAAACGACAAGACATATAACGACGAGTCTTCCGGAGCAGGTTAGAAATGCCACGTGACATAGCAATTTAGTCAAGCTAAAACACAGTGGCTTCTACAGTCTTTAACTTCAGCAGTTGTATACTACTTCTAAAACCAATGTTAGAGGTGGTCACGTGAGGCATTTTTACTTTTAAAATTCTCTTTAATTCACTTAAAAGCTTTGTAAGCAAGATTGAGGAAAGAAAGAGACATTTACTACATAGTTTATTTTACTGGCATGTTTTAGTTATATTTGTGACATCTTTAATATAGCCATTTAAAAGAGAATAAACTGTAATTCCAGTAGAACAGATCCATGTTTCAGTTCTGTGTTCTACAGATTCCCATAAAAAGATGAGATACAAAAAGAAACTGTGAAGGAGACGTGCAGTGTTTCCAAACTGCAAGTTTTACAGTTCTCAAGAGAAACTATGGTAGTAAGAACGTGAGCTACAGTAGAAATACCATCACTTCCAAATGAATTATAACAAAATATTGCACAGTACTTTGGATTAAATATGAGAAGAGCTCATATAATCACTTTATACATGCCAGAAAAGCAATAACATGAACTAAAAAAATACAAATTTAAAAAATAAGTGTGGGTATTGCTTTTCAAAACAAATCACATTCCATGCTTCCAAGGCAAACTGATTTGTAGAACAAAACACAGACCACATCCTTTAACTACAGAGGGGGAAAAACGGGGGCGTGTGTGGAATGCAGCAATCTTTTAAATGAACATTTGACTATTTTTAATTTTGACCATGAGTCCAAAATGCATTTCACAAATTAATATTAGTGAGGGGAATTTTTTTTTATATTATTATTGAGAAAATTCATGACTGACTAACCAAGATAATCCTTCAAATAAGAACCAAGACAGTTTCCTGAGGCTACAATCAGCTGCAACGCTTCTCCGCTACTGACTACAGCTTTCCCAAGGAGTAACAAAACAAAATTAGTTTCCCTCTGCTACCGAGAGGCCCATGAGCAATACAGAAGCGACCATTCCAGTTTCATGCCGCTGCTATCTGCGAAAACTATGACCAAGAGCAGACATAAGCATCATAGTTGTTCTCCAGAGAGGAATATCCCAGAAATGGGGGGAAGCGGATTAACAACAGAGCAGGGACTCCTGTTTTGCTAAACTTGGCACACTGGAGATCAACAGGTTAGGCAGAGCTCTACAGTCCCACAGCAGCCAGGACACTCTGAGAAAAGTTAAGGAAATAAGATAAAAAAGAGGGGCTAAGGAGGCAAAAGAAACCTTTTCCTTTCAGCCAACAACAAACGTTAAGGTAACAAAATTTGACAAAAGTTGTTCTAACACCAATCCAGCCAGGGTTCATACCTAGGTTTCCAACTACAACCCAGAAAAAACGTATTTGTAACAGGCAGAGCAAGTATTTATGCCCAGTCTCTCCCCTCCCCAACTATTCTACTGCCAAAATTATCATAAGAAAAGGCTGCAATCTTCTTCCTGCTATTTATACTGCAATTCTTCAACTTCTGTGTAGCTAAGTTTTTCATTTAAATATCACCTATCAGAGGAAATCTGTAGGCCCAATTTTCAGATGGTATGCAGTCTACACTTTCAAAACCCTGGTCTCAAGATTCACATTTAAAAAACAAAAAAATTTTTTTGGTTTTTCAATGATATTTTGGTCCACCTGCCACACACTTGAACCGCTTTGTACACCTAAAAAATAGTTTTAAAGACCTACACGTACCTGTGGCACAACATCTTGAAGAAACGTAACAACGCTTTCCATATACGACTGTTCCCTTGAAAACAGAAGGAGAATTTTGAACTACCAGTGAAGTTCAGAAATGGTTACGAATACATTAAATAAGACACATCACCAGAGAAAAAACATGCGCAATCTTTAGCACAAGGGAAAATACTAAGTATGCAATGCAGTTACTTAATATACTGCCAAAAACTCTGATAATATAAATAGCAGCCTAAAAGTCTGTAAAGAGCTAAGCGATACCTGTTTATGAAATAACTGCTTGGGGGAAAAGTATAAAACGTTAACAGTCAAGAAATAAACCACGTTCTCCACATCAGAGTGCCTGTCTAAAGCAGAACAGGCATTTGGAAATTATTCTTCAGTATTTTCCTACTTGATTTGGCTATTACAACATGAGGACCTAAGCTAAGGGCTGGAGCTCTCCTTGTGGTGCAAGTAAATTTTAAGACCTCATATGTATTATGCACAACGATGAAGTAAGTGGCAGCGCTTGGGGGCAGGAGATGGAACAAAACCCTAAGTAAGAAGAGTAAGGAGGTATTTTCAGATAAGACTATAGCTTGGGAAGCTTATTCCTTCTTGGAAGTTCATTAGCAGCAATGATTTAGACTAGTATATAGTGCAAGATACATTTGTTCTGATAGATTTAAACTAATGCTTTTATTAGCTTATCCCTGCACGAGCGGTGAGTCTCTTGTGTAACTGCTGAGCAACGTACAATGTGGGTTGACTATGACAGACGGTGTTGAAACTACGCAAAAAGTTTGTGCTTTCTGTAATGAGTAATACTGAAACATGCTGGCAACAAGAACTATCTTCATAAAGTCTGAAACAATTTTTTTTTTTTTAAATTAACTCTTTAGGTAACAGCTTTGGCAGCCCCTAAATTAAGTTTTATATTGGTAGTAATTTTTCTCTAACTCAAGATTTCTAATAGCAACAAACAAAAATGGTAAACTAGGAAATCTAGACTCTTGATGCACAAAGGTACGCATGCTTTCTTCATACTTTCTGAAACTGTACTGTGTAAGATTCTTTTAATAGAAATTGGAGTGTTTAGTATTTAAGAATTAAGTACTCCGCCCTATACACAGCAATACAGAAGATACTTCAAGTCAAATGCTGCAACACGTGGATCAGCTTAACTGGTTGACTCCTCTCTGAAAACAAAGATAACTCTAAACCATAAAGTTTTAAATTTTAGAAAGCTTATCCCAACTCATGACAAAACTAGATTTTGTTCAGCAATCCAAGGATTACAACATCAAAGTTTGTCTAACTGCTTTAAGCTGAGGCCTTATAAATGAGCTGTGGTTTCTAGTGCTGATTCTTCTTTGATTTATGTAGGTCACCAAAATTGTCTTTGTATACCTTCAGAGCCCTTTATTAGCTAGCAGTAATACTTGTCTACAGGTGTAGTATTAAGTACAGTGTTTGAAGTTCTCACGTGAATGCCTACCAGCAAGAGTCATACTGTCTTCATTTTCCAGCTCATGAAGTGAGTACTTTATTTCCCCTCCCTCCCCGAGTACATCTTGAAACAAAGTTGATGTTCGGGAAATGTTTATTCAGTGTATGTACTCTAAATCTCTCCTGAAGGTGAAAAACTTCCAAGATATCTTTAAAGTGCTTAAAAACAACCGAAACAACAACAACAAAACCCACCCCCCCCCCCCCAAAAAAAATCTGCTGTTAGTAAGAATCCAGGAGTTTAACATAAGCAGCAAAATGCTGCCGCAGGCTGCTCAGCACACCTCAAAAATTTCAGTCTTTTTGATGAGAGTTTGTGTGAAAAGATATACCCCAAGAACAAGCCACCGTATTTAATGAAACAAAAGAACAGATAATCTTATTCTTGCAGTGTTTTTCTATTATTATATTTTTAAAGCATACTTTGAAGAAAAGGTCATTACAAACAGAAATGCATTTCTTGAGAAATTCTGCAACATAAAAGAATGTGTATTCTATCACATGGCTGTATGACAAACTTCTAACACAACTTTCTGTGTTACTCTCTTGTGCTCCCTGGTAAAAATAAAGTGAATCTTGATGTTGAAATACACAGCTATCTCCAGTGGCAAACTAATAGCCGCTGAAACTGGTAGTACAAATGAACATTTCAATACAGTGCCATTTTACAGCAACAATTCAGCAGTATAAACATCCCCAGGAAAAAAGAAAAACTGCTACAAAAATCCTTTAACAGACAAAGGTGAGACCACAAATCTTCTAGACTGTCTTACTAAGCTCTTCTCCCATGAAGGTATTTTCATGTGAACACAACAAAAATAAGGATGCCCAAGCAAAAAAAATGGTCTCTTATGTGGTCTGACCGGAGAGTGGTAGCTTCTTCCTTTGTTCTTGGTTTTGTTCTCTTAAGCAAAAAAAATCAGAATCCACAATTCTACTTAGTGAAGGAATTTAATGGCAGGCTTCTACGTTTTAATAGCTCCACCCCTGTGACAAGGTATTATTAAAAAGAGCAGCAAGAAAGGCACATGCGCCACATGTTCCTTCTAGCCTAAGGGAGAAGTCTGCAATCATTGATCTACAGCTAGCGTAGTGTTTGTGGAGCAAACAAAATTGTGTAAACAAACAACAAAACACTGCAAGATAAAGTATTCATCTTTAAAATGTGCACTTGGAAGGTTTTGGTGTATTAAGCTAAAAGCATCCCATTCAGGGAGCCAGTTTGACCCGCACAGTCCTAGGAGACAGGAATGCAACATCTGTTTACTTTATCTTACTGGAAAACACTCGGTGCAACAAAACCGTACTGTCAACACAAGCCCTCACAGCTGGCTTTGAAAGAAAATTCAGGCTAGGTTCTTCTTCTACAAGAAGATAAAAAACCATTTCAAACGAGGGCTATTCTTCTAGAACGTGCTTACGTGACAGCTTGCGGGCGAACAACCACTCCTCCGGTACATCGACTGGGGCGGCGTGGAGATTCTGTCGCCATCGTTTCTTTGCAGACACCTGTAAGAAACACATTTCTTTTTAATAATAATTTGTATTGGGATTATTTATTACGCTAGTTCTCAACATACTCTTCAGGATGATAAAAGCATCTTGAAAAAGGAAACTTGACTTATACAAACCTGTAAGGCACTACGACCCTATACAGCACTCTCTAAAAAAGAAAAACACCTCCTTCTTCCAGTATCTCACTCACTACAGCTTCTGCAATGTATGTGAAAGCAAAAAAAGAACGCAAACCTACATGATAAAGAGGAAAAATTTCTTCAAACCGTACATTAAAGACAGAGGTACAGGTACACAATTATCCTCAGCATTATTTAAGACTATTATTTACTAGGGAGCTGTTGTCTTAGAAAATAATTATATAAAAATCATGTACAATCACAATTGCAGTGTATTGTACTCTGGAAAATCTGTAATGGGTTACATGAAGCTAACACAAAAAGCGTGCGGGAACACATTCTGCTTTTTTTATGTCAGCTTTTTGTGCCGCCTTCAAGTTTTTGTTCACACGTCTGTTCTTCCATGTGAAAATTCAGCACAATATTCCTAAAGGCAAAAAAACACTTGAGGAGTATCACAGACCCCAGCCACCTCTTCGGTCCACCATTCATCCGCTCCACTCTGCCCCCGCCCGCCCCGAACCAAGAACCGGTACATAAAGTGAGAGGAAAAGCCAAATCCCCAACATGGTAGGGGTCATCAGCATCGTTTCACGTTTGGGCAGTCTTTGTAAGGGCCACCCCATTAAGCGAGGCAAGGATAAGCGCTTCGCCCCGTGGAAATTAATAACAAAACGTTCAGCGACACAACTGAAGTTTTGACACGTGTGCCAAGCGAGCTGAAAAAAAAAAAATGGCACGTAAAGGAAATCATCTCTTCGTGCTCTGCCCTAAGCCAGCGGGACACCCGTAAATACGCGAAAGAAAGAAGACTAGAGCAATTTTCCCAGTTTTTTTGCTCTATAGAGAAACAAAATTTTTCCTTCACGCGAAGGAAATCAGATCTCTTCGTGCTCTGCCCTAAGCCGGCGGGACACCCGTGCCCGCCCGAGGCG